AGAGAAACCAGGAGAAAAATCAGGAGACTTTTTCGAAATCAGCAAGCTATATGTCCATCTTGTTTCGAAGGAAATTGAAATTTGTAGTCACGTAAGCAATGGATATTTTGTCCTTATTAGATAGTGATGTTCAATTTTTTCTTTGGATGTTATATAATCGCATGAAACATAGATTATTCCTTCTACCGTCCGTAGTATTTTTACAAACTGACTAAATTCTTCTAATGATTTAATTGGTTTTCAATACATCCGAATAATTTAGAAGATAATTTTAAAATTCTGTACAGTTGTAATGAGTATTAATTTTCATTTTTTAACTCTGCCTCTACAAGAACGTGCTTCATATTACCTAGAATCATCCAAAATTAGTCGCAGACGTACTTTATTTTCATATAGAAAGTTTGAAGAAAGTTTCCTTTTATTTGCAGTGATAATAAAATCAGTGCTCTATTTTTCTATTATATTTCATCATTCTTCAATTAATATTATTATAATCAAATTTCTATTAAGAGTTGTTTTTTCTGTTATACGTTGCGTTATACTAATGTTCATTTGAAAAAAAAGACTGAGTTAATATTTTACGAATAACTTTTGATAGAAACAACATAGGAAACTGCGACTTTCATCGGCTGAAATGGAAGATAAAGATTCATCTACTCGTATATTATAGGCTATTTGACAGTTTCAAAGGTTTTCAATCGACTTCTGGGACAAAAATCTTATCCCGTGCGATAATTTCTACTAATTTATGATTGTCAGATGATATTTTAAATAGTCAATGTAAAAAAATCTCTCACACAATATACTAGACAAATCTATATAATATATGATTCCATGCATTTTCATCTTCCATTTCGACTGATGAAATCCCCAGCTTTATATCTTGTTTCTATCAAAAGATATTCGTAAAGTATTAACTCAGTCTTTTTTCCAAGTAGACATTAGTATAACATAACGTATAACAGAAAAATAGCCTTTAATTGAAGTTTTATTATTATTATATTAGTTGAAGAATGATGAAATAGTATAGAAAAAATAGAGCACTAGTTTTACTATCACTGCATATAAAAAGAAACTGTTTTTAATCTTTCTATACAAAAATAAAGTACGTTCGTGACTACTTTTAGATTGTCCTAAGTATTTCGATCATCATCCCACAAAAATTTCATATGGTCGAAGATAGATTTGCATAAGGCATTCGAGACTGGTATAAAAATGTATTGAACTATATTTTGTAAATTAGGTGCATTGACGCCATCAAGAAGATCATTCTGCAAATGATCGTACCTCACACATGGATGTAACACTTCTCATTTTCATTTGTTTTGTTTTTATTGTTTCAATTATTCAAAATGTCACTAAAAATCTAAACGAGAAAAAAGCCGAGAAACCAGGAACAACTAGGAAAAAATGTTAAAAAGTACCTCCTGGATCCAGGAGATTTTTTAACCAGAAGAAAAATTGAAAAATCAGGATTCTTCTGGGTAAATCAGGAGATTTTGCAGTTATGGTCAAGAGTTCTATACTTTGTGCAACACCTATTTATTATTAACCAGTGGATGCATCTGTTTTTTGATGATGTTATTGTTAATAGCCATTGTATAGTGGATTGTCTATAATTTGAAAAGACGAAGACGAAGCTCTATATGCTCAGCATATTTGCTACTTAGGGTTGACCAAAAGTTCGTAGAACAGTGTTGAAAGAACCTTGTCGAATAAGGTAACCTATTCAGAAATGAAAAACCAAATATACCATGTTGTAGAGCTTTTTGAGGCGCGTCGAATGGTATATAATAAATCCTGTTTTCATAAGACTTTGAAGAAACTAGAGTCAGTTTACTGATAGACGACTACACATCCCCAACCACACCCTCATCCAAGCATGATAGGTTATTGAATATTGTGGTCCTCGGTACTAGTCGAAAGTATTTGTAAAATATTGTTTCTCACATACGATTTTGTAGAGTTTTTCACGGGCTACAACCTCATATACGTAGCATCTCCGGGCATCTTGTCAGTGTGGGTATGGGTGTGGGTGTATAGTCGTTTGTCAGTAAATTGACTCTAGTTCCTTCAAAGTCTTATGAAAACAGGATTTATTATATACCATTCGACGCGCCTCAAAAAGCTCTACAACATGGTATATTTGGTTTTTCATTTCTGAATAGGTTACCTTATTCGACAAGGTTCTTTCAACACTGTTCTACGAACTTTTGGTCAACCCTAAGTATATAAAGAAACGAAGAATATGAGAGCATGAAAAGTTTTGCGTCATTGAGAAAAATGTTGAGAGTAAGTTTTACAGATAATCTAGTTAAAAGAGAAGGCATAGATGAATCCAAAGAAGAACAATCTTATGTCATTTCACTTGTCAACAGAATTCTGATTGCTCCAAAATGCCTTTCGTACTTAGAAATTCTGTTGAAGCAAATAAATAAAAAGTTTTTTGTGATATGATAAAGTGTTTTGAAACTACGATATGTACAAATGATCTTATTGAATTCAAAATACAAGTAAACATACAATTAATTGAAACAACATATGTTAAAAATAATTGTTAAAGAACGAAAATAATTCAAAATTTTGTATCCTTTATTTTCTATCTGTACGCGCGTACAGATATTCAAAAATGATTACAAATGATATCTCGACCAATGCCGCGTAATATCAATGCCTGAAACTCTTCATAGTTTAATTCACCATCAAAATTTTCGTCAACCTGTTTTATATATTCAGCCAGAACGTTGACATCGACCGAGTTATTGAGAATCATTAAGATGTCACTAAATTCCTTAATATTAATTGCTCCCGATTGATCACTATCTAAAATAGCAAATGCACGTTTGAGTTCATTATTTTTATAATAACCCATAATGATTGGACGTAGAGAATTGACAAACGCATCAAATGTTATTGGTTTCTGAAGTCTATTAATTCTCAATTCATATTGATCACGCGTTATGCTCCATTGATATGATCGATAATATTTTTCTTGGTTTTGTCGGCTCATACTAGACGATGTTGATCCTAAGGCCATTGTAGTAGATTCATCGAATTGAAATTCAATTTTGATAATTTGTCCTGAATGATTACGATACATAGTTTCTGTTACTGTATATTCGAGATCCATGTCGTCCTAATAAGAATAAACAAAGAAGCACATTTCAATTGTATATATGCACTCATAAATAAGAAATATTTTAAAAATAACTTACACACTTTGATATTATTCTCATAATCAATTGTTTTCGCTCTCTATCTCTCTATTAAACTTTAGGTTTTCCGAGTGAGATCAATGACGTCGAAATATGCAGTTCACAATGGCAAACATCCTGCCATTTTCTTTTTCTTTTTAAATTATACATTTACATCTCTATGCCACTACGAACTAAGTAAGATATCCAGGTGTCTCATGAGAATTTCAGCACAAATTTGTTGATTCAAATTCTGTTCTGATATCGAATCTTAGCAAGACAAACTGCTAAAATTGCTTCAATAAAAAGTTAAGGAGGGTACATAACGATCTATTAATTGTTGATTGAACTTTTTTTTGCTAATATAAATACGTTCAAATGAGATTAGACTAAATCTTATCTAACGCAATCATGCGCATCAGAACTACATCCATTGTATTGAATTTCTACTTTTCAGAAAAGATTTTTACTTGAAATATTATTCATAAATAGGTCGCTTTCTTCTGGCAGGATTCTAAAGTTTCAGCTAAGGCAAGTACTTTTTTGTTCTAACATTGAAAATTGAAGAAAACTGCCTATGAGCTTAGTGTTAATAGCATGATGTGTATATAGTAGTAAAAATAGAAGATTTTGTCTATAGCGATGTATCCAGAATTGACTAGGAATAAAAGTGCTGACACTCATATGATTCCATTCACATCATCCTTACTCATTTCCACTATATCTATTATCTTATGATAAAGTAATATAACTAAGAAAAATAATTAGTATGCTACCAAGTAGATGTCATAGATGCGACTTTTTTTCAAAAGAATAAAAGATTTCTTTTCATGGAAAGTGTCTACTCCTTCTCTTCCAAAATATACTTCTTTCAATTTTGTAAAATAGATAGATCACGTAAAAAACCTCTCATGTATATATTTTTAATCAAAGGTAACAGTAAAATGAATTTCTCTATTATGAAAGAAAAATGGTTCTCTTACCTGTCTCGAGCGATAGAAGAAGAGAATTTTAGTTTTTTTGCTGTAGTCAAGATGAAAAAAATGCAGGAAAATATCACAACTCTTCTGCGTATGCACAAATACCAATTATCAATTTCAACATGTATAGAAAATCTTTATTTTCTTTTTTGTAGAATCAATATTCGTCAAGCACGAAGATATTCATTGAGTATGATTGTTGCCATTCTAGGTTATGATGTCTCTTCAGTTCTCTCAGATAATACATGAACTGAGAATAATTTCCTGGAATATTTACTGTCACTATTTAGAATTTCGATGTTTTAATAATTTTTCTACGTTTATATTCTACTTTGAAGTCTATGACGATAGTGTGATTCTGAAGTCCATCTGATATTAGTTCATGTTATTCTTGAGGATGAACACCAAATTTTGGGCTCTATTCGATGACGAAAGAAGCAGATCTACACACTTCTCTAGTGTTCATAAAAGACGTCCGAAGTATGCTGATAAGCATTCATTAGTGTAAGTATGGCGAAATTTTCTATGCGATGAATTATTTGCAGTAAAGTTAGTATCCATCGTAGTTGAGATTATGAAAATAAATTTGAATGCGTCGAAAAGAGCTCATCGAATTGCACTTATGGTGAAAGTATCTCATTAGTTTATGATTTTCTCAGTGTAAGGATCAATACGAAATTTTAGTCATAAAATTAGGAATCTAATGGATCCGATATTTGTTTATCAGAATTTGATGAAGTTAGTACATGAGATCTGATCTTTCTTGTTTACCCAAAGACTAGTCTGAACTAATATATCAGATGAACTTCAGGTCACATTATCCTCATAAGTCTCAAAGTGGTCCACCGATTAGTTAACCCTAGTTTCCTTAGGTTACAAAAATATGTAG